CGCGGGCGGCCGAGCGCTCCAGGTGAGTCCGGCGGTGGAGCGAGGCTCCCCCACGCCGCCTGCATGCGCCTGCCGGCTTCCTGCCCGTGCGAATCCAGGGGCAAAAGGAGCCCGTGGCGAGAGCCCTGCGCCCGGGGCTGCCTGGCTCACCAGGCGGTCCGGGTCCCCGCTGCGCCACCACCCCTGCGGGCTGTCTGCAGCCCTTGCAAGACTCTAGGTGCTGCTTTTAGGCTGCGAGGACCAGGCCAGCATTTGGTCCCAGTCCTGCGCTTCCTCCCCCAGGATGGGGTGGCTTGCTCCCGAGCTGCCCCGAGCTGCAGGATCCTTTTGCCTGCCTGGATTCGCACAGCTTTGCAGCCTGCCAGCACCGCCCCCCCCCGTGCCTGCCCCGGGGCAAGAGCGGCACTGCCGTGCACTGGCGTGGCAGCGGGCGTCACGAGGCACAACTGCCACAGCGTCACCCCACGTGGACATTCCCTCCTCCTTCTCCTCCTCTTCACATGGCCCCATCCATGCACTGTGCAAGGAGAGGTGCTGGTGGGATGCCCAGAAGGGCTGTCCCCATGACGCCGAGGGCACACAGGGAGCCTCAGAGGGCTTCTTGGCTGCCGATGTCTGGGCGAAAGGGAGACACTGCCCCGAATCAGCTGGCTTTGGGCACGGGCAGCATCCCGGCAGCCAAGGCCACTCGGGCTCTTCCCTCTCCTGGGGATCGCTCCTCCATGGCTCCCGTCTCTCCTGGTGGGTCCCTCCCCATGCTCCTTTCCTTTGCTATTATTTGGTATGATTTTGTTTTACTTGGGTCTGTTTTGTTTCTTCCTGTGGCGTTCTGGGACACTCCGCAGCCCGGATGATGTGTCGTCTGCTTGGGTGGATTGCTGCCGCAACTACCCCTCCCCCGAGGACGGCCGGGCCCCCCCCTTCCCCGGCTCCCGGCTCCCCCCTCGCCTGCCCTCCGGGGCTCCCCGTGCCACTCGCCGCAGCGGCCCCCCGCCGCCGTACCGCGGGCCCGGGTGCCGCCAGAG